AACAGCAAACAGGGAAGGCAGTTACTCACGTTATACGATGAAAGCATTTGGCACCTGAAGCCTTGCATTTGCAGATTTGTCTGCGTCTCCTCTAGACGTTCGCCATCCTCCTTTCTGGAAAATTGTAATGCGCCGTCTTCTTGCGGACCACCAGCTTTTAAGGGATTTATCGAGCTCCACATTAAATGGCACTGATCTTAGTAAATCCAGATGGAATTCCCGTGTTTCCGCCACTTGGCGTGGCTTCCAGGATTTGGCGGCAACCGTCGTACCCCTACGCCAAAAATCGATTTATTCGCATTAATCGTCGGCTTGCGGAGTGCACGACATATTTCCATATTAGAATTAAGTGCTCCATGCCCTGAGCGACGGACAAAAACGCGATGAGTAATGTCCCCGATAACGACCAGCTATCGGTTGTAACAGCAACGTCGCGACGCTTTCTCGTTTCACGCGAAACCTACACTAATAAATAAAACTCTGTTTCAGCCCTGTAAACGCTGTATAATCCGTGGAACAGCCACGAACGTGATATCAACGATTCCACGCTTGCTCGACAAACACGAAAGGTTTCAATAGATGCCGCCAGTTTTATCTACATCAGTCTAGACTACCGATTTACAAATTCGTGTAAAATGAGATTTCAATCGGTCGTAATATTCCAGTCTACGTTTCTGCAGCAAACGTGGATTAGAAAAACACATAGCGACAATGTTTAACGCCAACAATTATAATCCGTTACCTTATTCAAGGTGAAAGTTCGTACATAGCTATCACGCAGATTTATGTAATACTAGCATATTACTAACCATAAACACTATGTGCCCAAAGTTCGCGTTCAGTTCAGTCAGTTCGCCGCTCAAAGTGACTTTGCCAGAACAAAGGATTAGAACCGTGTACACACCTATTATAGTTACAAATCCGAAAGCTAATGAAAACTGGATTGTAATTGGCCCGACAACAATTATACGTTTTACGTAAAGTAACCTTCTCTACTTTCCCATAGTTTCTCAACTACGAAATCGTCGCTAATGATTTTGTACTTGAACAATACACCCGACAACTCTCTACTTCGTTACGAAAGACCGAAAACGTAACTCGAGACTACAATTCCATCTGTGGACAATTAACTACTAGCTAAGGAAAAGGAACAAGCAAAGTAAACGGGTATAAATTTTCCTCGCAAAAGAAGGAAAAAAGAAAAAAGAAAGAAACACCGAGCGATAAAACATAAGATTGCCGAAGGATCTATATCATCAGAGGGATGACGTTATTCAAGGATTCTCCCAAAGGCACTCTGGCGCGATACAAAATGATCGAATAAAAAAGGACGTGACAGAATGACCAGCAGGTTCGGTGGACCGGCGCATCTCGCGCTTACATTTCTTCCAGTGGAATAGAAGAGTGGGTGGAGAATAGACACAGCGGAGGTAGTAAGTGGGCTAGTAAGTCTCACGATAACAGTTATAAATGACCCTCTCGAAGCGCGGCGCCGTGCCACCCAACCCTCAGCTAAGCGCCAGACACTGGCTCCTTCGTAACCTAACACATGCCCGAACGATATAGTCGTAAAAGGTACTAAACAAACATACGCTAAGTGGCCTGGTCGCCGCGTGTGCGCAACTATACTACGACTGTTTACGTATCCTTGATCGATAATCGTACGTGGTACGTTGTGCGGTGGCGGGTCGCAAGACTGTTGTTACACCGCGGATGCTACATTTGAGAAGAACATACATCTCCGTTTTAAGCGTAATTTCGGCTGCAACATGGCTGAGGTACTTTACACTTTCGCAGTTACTCGTTTGACATAATTACGATGTTTTCTAGGCACGCGACCGTTGTCTGAAATATGAACGTGGTTTTACACTGGTGATCGATGCTTTAGAAAAGGATGAAGGAAACTCTCAGGTTACGAGAGACGTTTGATTAAATGAATCAATAAATTCATGAATTTGATAAATTGTTAAATTCTAATATTGTTATAGAATTTCGTGATGAAACCTTGATCCAATCTGGCTCCGTTCTTTTATGCACCATATATTTATGTTGTGTGGACTGATGTCAATGCTCTACCTTTTCTCGCTTATCGATTGTTACGCTTCGCTTTTAATTAACCTCTTGCGAGCAAAGCGTTAAGTAGGTTGTCTTTGAGTGTTCAATTCCTTTCCTGGAAGTGCCTATTGATCGCACTTGATAAACAAAGTATAAACTATTTAAGTTAATCGCATAAAACAGCTAATAAGAAATTCAGCAGAAAATACTGTTTACAAAGTCACATTTACTAAATATGGCGTCTTATAAAAAACTGTGCGTATTGAGAAAAATGCGTGCCGAAGCGACTACATAACAGTACAAAGCATCATTTTCCGATAAAAAGATAGAATACGTCCAATACGAATATTTTTGTCTGTAATATACTAATAAAAAATTTGTTTAATTACCTTTTCATTTTCATATTCTGCGAGTAATATTTCGAGGAAACTCCAAAATTACATTCAAAAGTTACTAACCGTTTAGTACAGTTACTGGTAGTACAGAGTGCGCTGCTTGACAAACAAAACAGTTTATAGAACATTAGGAAATCTGTTCTAATAAAACGTTGAAACAAATGATATTTACTACTTAATCAAAGTACAGGATTTAAAATAAAGCTGCTGATACCTTTTAATTACCTTTATGAATGCGTTCAAGTAAATGTTTACGGTTTAAGTCTGTGAAAATTCGAGACGAAAATTACGCGTGCGTAATTTGGTGCTGACTGAAAGCGCCAATCTATGGACAATTTGAAAAAGATGTGCGCGCATCACCGCGCATGCGCAGGGAGGGGAAAGGTGTGTGAATCTGTAACAGACGAAATGCATCGAAGTACAACCTGAAGCAAGTGTCATGGCGCTAACTTCGGATATTGATTTTGGTCCAGTAGGATGCAGAACGCTCGTATTCTACTGATAACGTTTCCTACTTGTCGCTAGTAAGGAAAATATTTGACATGATATCGATTCTTTCCATATCTAACAAAGTTGACTTAAATACTGTTGTATACGGTGTCAGCAGGTGAAGGTGTTTTTACTGGGAGTGGTCACTGCCATCTCGACCCTATACAAACTTATAAATAGTTACGCTTAAAATGCGGATATCGACGTTTGGTGTTCTTTTTAATACTCTTCATATTATATACGGTAAGTTTGTCACTCTTTTGTATCATACAAGTATTTATAGGATCGTTTGACTTTCGTAAGAATTTGATTGCCGTGTGTGTTGAGAACAACGTATTGAATTGTTCTCTCGCTAATGTAAAAATTATGACTGAAAAGATTTGCACTTCCCCCGTTCCCCAGGTGCCGTTGGGTTAAAAATTTACGAGGCAAACCCTAATACAAAGCGACTTTACGATGACTTACTGTCGAATTATAATAGACTTATACGCCCTGTCGTTAACAATACCGAAACTTTAACAGTTTTGCTCGGTTTAAAGCTCTCGCAACTAATCGAAATGGTATGAAATCATAATATTCGATCACAATCCTTCGTTCGATAAATGTATTATTGATATTTTTTTAATTTACAGAATTTGAAAAATCAAGTGATGACTACCAACGTCTGGGTGGAACAGGTAAAAGCTATTGAAAAACTACTCCTATGTAATTATAAATATGCTTTGTTCATTGTTAACATTATGCTATAGCAATGGATCGACTACAAATTAAGATGGGATCCAGAAGAATATGGCGGCGTGGAAATGTTATACGTGCCTTCTGAAAATATTTGGCTACCAGATATTGTCTTATACAATAAGTAAACTTTAGTTTACTACTTATTAACAAGTATTTAATTCCATTGGTTACAAAGGGGAACATCAATGAAATATAATTTTACAGCGCTGACGGCAATTACGAAGTAACGCTTATGACAAAGGCTACGTTAAAGCATACCGGTGAGGTATCTTGGAAACCGCCCGCGATTTACAAATCATCCTGTGAGATTAACGTGGAATACTTCCCATTCGACGAGCAATCATGCATCATGAAATTTGGTTCTTGGACGTATAACGGCGCTCAGGTTATAACTCAAGAATATGAATATTATTTATCCGAAAGTATGCTTTATAAAACCTTTTACCAAACTTCTACAGGTGGATCTAAAACATATGAAACAAGAAGCTGGCAGCAATTTGGTTGCAACAGGGATAGATCTAAGCGACTTTTACTTATCAGTTGAATGGGACATTTTGGAAGTACCAGCATCTAGAAACGAAGAATACTATCCATGTTGCACAGAACCATATTCTGGTAAGCAAATGAATGTATATTGGCAACTGTGTCTTAAAAACGATGCAAAATATGAATTCATTTAAACTTGTACAGATATCACATTTAATATTACGATGCGAAGGAAGACGTTATTCTATACAGTCAACTTAATAATTCCTTGCGTGGGTATTACGTTTCTTACGGTACTTGTCTTTTATCTACCAAGTGATTCGGGAGAAAAAGTAAGTATTACAAAGACTAATAATATATTTATTACGTAAATTTGTATAAAAAATTGAATTTTTACAGGTATCGTTATGTTCTTCCATTCTTCTCTCGTTAACAGTGTTCTTTTTACTATTAGCCGAAATTATTCCACCGACATCACTAGCTATACCACTTTTAGGAAAATATTTACTATTTACCATGATTTTAGTCACTTTATCAATATGGATTACCGTATGCGTTTTAAATGTTCATTTTCGGTAAACAAATCTCCATTGTAGTAGTCTTTTAGTATTTTAGTAATTATAAATATACTAGTTAATAAATATAATTATTAATATACTATCCTATTTATAAAATATTTAAAGTTATGTATAACTGTCTTATAGGTCTCCATCTACGCACAATATGTCACCATGGGTTAGACAAGTGTTTTTAAATTGGATGCCGCGAATTTTAATGATGCGTCGGACACCGTATTCAACACCAGAATACGATGACGCGTATATGGATAGCGGATATACTAATGAAATAGATTTTAGGTAATTACACTAATTACAAATTCTTAATGAGAGAACTTTTCAGGAGTATATATTATAATTTTTCTAACAGCGTTAGTGATTACCCACTGGAATTGAAAGGAAGTCCAGACGGATTTGAAAGTGTCACCTCGCAGTATAAAAATATACGAGAGGACGATGCACGCCATGTACCACATGCATCAGGTAAACATTTCAACTGTTTGATGTATAATATATAATACAGTCGATACAAAATTTTATTTATTAAATTTATGATGACAATACATTAAATCATTTTCATTAACCAAGCAATGAATATACAATATTTTTTCATATGCAAATTATATAAACAATATTTTTTCATATGCAAATTATAACACGTAAAAAGAATGACATATGTCATGTATTTCTCAAATATATAATGCTAAGAATGAAATACTGTTGCAGTCACTGATAGCGAAAATACAATGCCGAGACACTTGTCTCCTGATGTCATATCAGCTCTAAAAGGTGTACGTTTTATTGCTCAACATATAAAAAATGCAGACAAAGATAATGAAGTAAGTTGGACAACAATTTGCCTAATTATTCATGTGTTTTATACTTTTCTCAAAAACTTAAGATTCTTCTTAGATTCTTCTTTTTTTAAAAAATATATATGAAATGATATATTATTTTAACATTAAATTTTTTCTCGCATATTTCTTTCTAATATTTGCAGGTTATAGAAGATTGGAAATTCGTAGCTATGGTTTTAGATAGACTTTTTCTCTGGGTTTTTACATTTGCATGTATTGGTGGAACACTTGGCATAATATTTCAAGCACCAAGTTTATATGATACAAGAGATCCTGTGGACCAACAACTTTCTGGAATATCATTTGGCAATTTTATGTATCCAAATATAAATGCAGTTTCACAAAATGAAAAATAAATTCAAAAAAACATTCGTGAAACATGTGACTCGCGTATAAAAACTATATAATACAAAAGCATTAACCCTTCTGCGGCTAGTGCCGATTATGTCCAACACCTATGAAAAGAATATTATATAATTATAATAACATATAATATTATATATTATGTTTTACATAATATTCACATCAAAGAATATTAATAAATTAATTATTCTCTCAATTTAATTTTTAATAAATAAAAATTGAAGCTTTATTACTTAATTTTAATTATTATTTATTTTGAAAATATTTTTATTAAGCAGAATTAGTACAAGAGTGTGAAATATCTCGTATACTAATTAACATGAGAAATGAGACTATCTAAATAGAAAAAATGTACTTACAACGTCCCGTTTAACGGAGCAATATTGACGACTAGTATTGCCGCCGTGAAAGGGTTAAATTATTATTTCATTTATATAAATTTTATTTACTTTATTTCTTACAAATTCAGGTCGACTTTCATAAATAGAAAGTCTGTAGTAAATATAGTCTCAGCAGTCTTATTAACCCTAATCAATCAAAAAAAAAGAAATAATAGTAAAGAAATAATTTCTAAACAATAATTAAACTAAACATTAACAACAAAAAATAATGCAAATATCTATATCTTATATTTTACTTTCATTAACATATCAAGGCTAATAAGAGGCTTATACTACAAAACAAAAATGATTTTGTTTTGAATAAAATTATATAATTTTTTTTTATGATGATAAAAACTACACTAAGATCTTTTATTATCTAAATGTAGTTTGATTTTAGTAATATCAATTTATTTTTCTTTTCTTTTATCCATTGAAATGATATAGGAGTTCTATACGTACTGATACATAGAAATGCTAAAAGAAATATTATTTCGCTCTTTTTTTCCACTTTAAGTACCAAAAGTAAAAACTTGATCGTGAATTCACTTACACTTATTTTTACATAGTAACTTCCTCTTAAGACAATCACAGAACTAACAAACTTTTGGTTTTCGTTCTGTACAAAATTTGGCAATTTAATAATAGCTACAAATATCCTATTCTAAATCAATTATCATCAACTCTGGTGATTCACTTGTACTGCTAATCGAGCTAGTTTGTGACTTTTTTGGTGAAGAAGTACCACTAGCTAACTTTTTTGTACTTTGCGTTGGTGTCGTATGTTCATCATCGTCATCACTGTCTGATATTAAATCAATAATCTCAGCTCGTTTCTTTTGCTTTGGAGGTGTAAGATTGCTTTCATCTAAACAATGACATAATTATCTGATCGTATGTAAACACTTATCAACATAAGAATATTTATTTTTAAATATATATTATATAATATTAAATATATAACACATGAAATGAGAACTCACCTAAATCAACAGTATCCACATCGATTTTACGATCTTGCGAGTTTGTAATGACTTTTGTTTCACTCTTCTCCTTATCCTTCTCTTTTTTTGGAACCAAATTTTCCCAGGAACCATCTTGCAACAACTGAATTTCATTTACATCTGGTAATAGTTTTTTAGAGTTTAAAACTTCTTGAAAATATCCATCGATAACGAGATTATCATATAACGCTGATTTATCACACACTGGGCAATTCCATGTAGGTTTTCTTTCATTCATTTGAAGAAATAACGAGGCATCAAAACACTGTAAATGTGAACATGTCGACGCACGACATGGTGTACACATTCGCATCTTCCCTAACGGACAAGCTAACGATACTCTAAGCGATGTTGTTGCTATTTCACTATCTGCATCTTCATTAAGTTTTTCCTTAACTAAGGAAATCATCATTTCAATAGCACTGATTTTCAATACAAAATATATAAAATGCTACGTACAACTACTTACTTAAACCTCTTGTATAATCCGAATGTCTAACTCCCCTATTTTTTAACCTCGATAATAATTCAGCACTTGAAAGTTTTCGAACTAAATATATTGCAATTGCATATCGTCTCCCATAGTCTGCTGACCACGTTACGTGAATTTGATTTGCTACGGTAGGAGATAATTTAACTAAAGGACTAATATTGACGGGCCGTGGTGGCCTCTTTGGTTCTACTCCCGGTTTATTAGTAGGTATTGGATTCTGAAACAAAAATAAAACTTTTCATTTAGAAATGAAAGATATTACTATAATTTTAATTTAAAGGGGAAAAACAACAAAATAAAGTCTTTATATTTCCATATATTTACAGGTAAAGGACATAATTTTCCATTAACTTTTACAGCAATGCTTGGTGGAAAACAGTCTTCTTGTTCACATGAAGTTTCTTGTAAACAAAATCGCATTTGTATCTGAAATCCATAACATAGATTGCAGAATATCAAAATAAACAAATATACAAATTTTATATTGTTTTAAGAAACAATCTCTCAAAATGTACTTGTACTGTATAATCCATTTTACTTCCTGCGCGACAATCTCGGGAACTTGCTACATCTGTTGATTGCTGTGGTGTTAAATGAAATGCAAATGTATTCTCTTGAAGTCTCATAGATCCTTGGGGCATTAGACTAGATGGCTTTAACAATTCAGCCAATAAATCAAAAAATGGTAGTTTTTTAAGCCTAACATCTGGATGAACTGGATACTGACTCCTAGGTTGTATCTGCAATGGTGATGGTAAAACTTTTGGTGCATATGGATATGGATTATAAGTTGCACTTGCTGTTTGCTGAAATGTGAATAAGTTATATGAATAATAAAAAACCATTATAAACAATACAAGTCACATAATTACAACAATACTATTTATATAAAATAATATTAATAACTTACTTGTGGTGTTACACTAGTATATCCTGTTGACTGATATACTGGATTGGTTCTAGGTGCCTGAGGTAGAGATGCTTGATGTGCAGGTGGTAAATCTTTTCCACTAGAAACTGAAGACTGTGACTGTTGTTGTTGACTAATAGCTTGTCTTTATATTAATTGGAAGTAAAAAGTAATATTATTAAACTTAACTTACATAATTAATTAAATCTATTTCACATAAATCTATTAATTTGTTTTATACACTCACCTTGTTGTGTAATAACTTCTGGAATGCATGTTTTGATCTATTTGTGGCTCTCCAGAACTACCTGTTTGACCATATATTTGATGTGCAGCTAATTGATCAGCTCTAAACAAAATTTTGATACCAAAAAATAACTACAGAATCTTGTTTCAATATAATTTCATTAAAGTTTATAATACTTAAAGTATAACAATATGCCATAGTAGATATAAAGAGAAAAGTATTTTTGAATACTTTACTAAAATAAACAAACAAAGTATAAACATACTTAAAAGTCTGACAAACGATGATAGAAATAGTTAACAACTGTATTGTCGTTAATAAATTTTATACTCACTGTATGGTTTTATATAATTCACGTATTTTGAGCTGAATTGGATGGGATCTCAAACGTAACAATTCTAGAGCACGTGCTTGTAATTCGTTTTTTCTACCTGATTTATTTCTACCAGCGAAACCAAGAAGCATCTGAAGTTCAGACACTCGAAAACTCAATATCATATTCTGCAATCATAAAAGTATAGCATGCATGTATTTTACATAGTACACTTATTCTAAACTGACATTTTAAAAGAAAAATACATTTTATGAACAACAATGGATTAATAGAAAATAAATGAACATTTTGATCTGTATTTAATTTCATTTATTTCAATCCAATTACATGATAAATACTTTATCTGTTATATTGGCTTGTATAAACATAATTGCAGAAATGTGGAATAAAATTTAGAGTACCAGGCATAAAGATCATACTTCAAGTTTTCTATTCTAGAGACAATCACATAAAGCATTTTTCTCCATATTGTATCAAATGAGAGAAACACAATGATGATACAGAATTTATTTTTTATAATTACAAATAATACCATTTATGTCCGAACATGTAATTAACCGAGAAAGAAAAAAAAGAAACAAGAAAATTTTTAATTCAAAAAAAGAAAATGTTTAGGTTACCTGTAATTACGAAGGGACCGACGTTTTTTGTACATCTTTTTCAGCAAATGAAACATAATTATAAGCACAATATAACGAAAAAAAAATCCTATCGATTAATCTTAATACTTCACCGAAGAAAAAAAAAATAAGTATAACAACGAAGAAAAAACGCGCTCAACAGTATACTAAACGTCTAGTAATATAATTCACTGACGCAAATAAATCAGTGATAATCCGGATATAACCATGACAAATTCACAATGCAGATCTGCCGACTTTTCTCTAAAATTTCACACATAATCTAACTGCACTGCACCACTTTTAATACTTCACTCACCTCTAATTCTTTGGTCTCCGCCATCTTCTTAGACGATTTTTTTTGCGAAGCCGTCTTGCCTATATTATTTCCAACTTTCGACAGAAAAATTCTCCTATCCCTTTCTTATTCGAGTTGTTTGTATCGCAACTCGACTCTATATTTTTCTTGCTTTTAAACGCGACTATCGAATAATATTATTTTATGGCGCGAAATTAATTTTTATATTTCAGTTTCCAGATCGTTTTAAAAAATCAGATTTTTTAAGAGGATTTAATTCTCGTAAAAATTTTTGATTCAATCGCGTGAGGTGAAATAATTATCGATATTTGACACTTCATTCGTTCGAAATGCCAAAAAGGATTTTCCAAGATGGCTGCTTACAATTCATTGGTAGCCCAGCTTCAATTTGTATAATTCAATAAATTTGCAACGTCAAAATAATCTCTTTATCAATCAATTTGTTAGGACGAAAAAAAAAAACTATAAATACAGTATCGAGATATCAAAAAAATTGTAATCTCGAGTTGTCTTTGGTTTCTTTAAATTTTAGTGAATATACACGAGAAGGAAAATCTTTGAATACATTTGCTGGTTATGTTTCATTATTTGGATTGTAAACGTCCAACGAATCTTTAATGTTTCTTTGTAACTAATTTATGATATATTGCGAAATCTTGTCAAAATATAAAAAAAAACTTATCAAGGAACCTATACACCTCCAAAAAAATTCTGAATAATATTTAAACTTTGCAACAGGCGGCTTGATTTTGTTCAAATGCACGTTGTATTAACGAAACACAATCGTATGTTAGAAACACAACACACAAGATTTTCTGAAGGATCTATTTTTATAGTAATTCATTTTTACTATATTCGTGATATATTTTTACTAGATGATCTAAAATATGATTGGATTATATCTAGTGAAAAAATGCGTTTTACGCTTTAAATTCTATATGTGTTATATAATTGCTATCTATATGTGTAAGTAATTCCCCTAGTTTGTTTTGAACGTCATTGGCTGTTAATTTATGAAAACGAACCATTATACGTACGTATCTGTTGTATGTAAGAAAAAAATATATTTGTATCACAAATTGATGATACATGTATCTATCTTAAAATATTCATATGCACCAATCTTTAGAATGCATGTATATATACATACATACAAGTATATACTTTGACAATTCAAAACATGGCTACCATGTGAAAAATAAATTAGTCGCATTACAGTTTGTAAACAAATTTCTATTTAGTTTTTACGATAGTTTTGTTTCGTGTTACCAGCGAAACTTATCAGCAGTAAAAAAATATATTTCTTCGATGAAATTTATAAGAAGTACGTGTGGTAGTGAAACATTCAAGTTTTTAAATATCTCTAACTGCAATTCAATGTCTATTCAATGTGATCTAACGGATTTCTGGAAAATAAAAATATACTTGTATGCTAATGTTCTACGTGATTGTGAGATACTTTTCAAATGAACACTAAATAATGGTAACCTTATTTTATGATCTAAAGAAAGTTCCATATTATAAAATAGAGCTATTTTGATAAACATATTTTGGATTATTTCTAGTTTTAGAATTACTGTAAATAGCTGTGAATAATTATTTGTACCGAAATTTATTTAAGAATAAAAATGATAATTAGTTATACAATTGTAAGCTCCTATATGTAAGTTGAAAATAGTAAATAGTTTGTATGTTTTGACTGATTAACTTAACCTATTTTTTAGATATACGTCTACAATTAAACATATCGATAAGTAACATTTATACACTTGAAAATTATTGTGCTAAAGTGTGTTAATAACAAGAAAAGAAAATTATTCTTTGTTAATGCCATGAGTAAAGTTAGAAAATATGCATTTAAAAATATATTTTTAATCAAATTTTTTTTCTAAAAAGGTAATAAACGAATTTTAATATATGATTTTATATTGCTTATTATATTGATGATAATTGTTTACAAATTATTTAATTTTACCATATTTATAATACTAATTAGGTATTTAATGTTACAGATTATACTATGTTGAAGTATTAAATAAAACATTCATGTGATAAAGATTCTATGTATAATATTGTATTGCATCGTTTGTAAATTAACCTCAATGGATTCCATTGAATTTGATGCAATTATAAGACATCCAAGAATTATAATTCACATAGATGTTGACTGTTTTTATGCTCAAGTAGAGATGCTAAGGCATCCAGAGCTACAAGGAAAACCATTGGGAGTACAACAAAAAAATATAGTAGTAACAAGCAATTACTTAGCACGAGAATATGGAATTAAAAAATGTATGTTAGTGCAGGAAGCTTTACAGTTGTGCCCAGAACTGGCCTTGGTAAATGGTGAAGACTTAACACACTATCGTCATTACTCTGGTAAAATACTGAAGATATTGCATCAGTTTACTCCATTAGTTGAAAGGTTAGGTTTTGATGATAATTTCTTGGACGTAACATCTATTGTACAAAAATATATGAATTCCGGGAATGATTCAGAATTGAATATAAGTATTAACATGGAAGATGAAAATCCAGTTGGCAAAGTATTTGGTCCCTCCGAAGAAGAATGTCCTTGTGGTTGTCATGCTAGATTAATTATAGCTTCCAAAATTGCAGCAGAAATAAGAGAACAAATTTATAAAGATTTACATATTACATGCAGTGCTGGAATAGGACATAACAAACTCTTAGCAAAATTAGTGGGTTCATTGCATAAACCAAATCAGCAAACACTAATATTCCCATGCAGCGCAGCTATGTTATTATCTACCATAGAGTCTATATCTAAAATACCAGGTGTTGGACAAAAAACAACACAATTGTTAATGTCCAATAACATAAAAACTATGGATGATTTACGAAAAACACCTTTAGAAACATTAGAGAAAAAAATCGGTATTGACCTGGCACGAAAATTAAAAGATAATGCCGAAGGTATCGACGAGACTGTTGTAAAACCAACAGGAAAGAGACAGAGTATAGGATTAGAAGATGGCTTCAAGAGTGTTTCTTTGATAGCCGAAGTAGAATCACGACTAGGAGCACTTTTGAGAAGATTAACGGAATTAGCTATGGAAGATGGAAGAATCCCTGTTGCTATGAGATTAACAGTCAGAAAGCATGATTTTAATAAATCAGCTTCGGGTAAAAGAGAAACCCGGCAATGCGCTTTACCAAAACATCTACTGCCTTCTTCAAAATCTGGAGTTTACGATCACGCTAAAATGCTAGCATTAGCAATGAAACTGTTTCATCGTACTGTCGATGTTTCTAAACCATTCCATTTAACTCTTTTAGGCGTTGCTTTCACGAAATTCGAGGAGAGATCTTCCGGAAAAAATAGTATTACATCTTTTTTGCGAAAACAAGTCGCTGTTCAATCCGTCTTAGATATAAGCTCGGAAGAAGGCGTTTCCGACATCAATCTCGGATCACCAATGAGTGTGAATCAAGATAGTAACGACGGTTCTGCGATGAGTACCACTTCATCTCCAATTTCCAAATCAATAGGTACTAACAACCAGATTGTGGACGACGATGTTTTGAACGAAATAGAGCCTTTACCAAAAAAGACCAGATTAGAAGTATGGTTAAGTGGACGTAGAGAATCTCCAAGCAACGAAATGGCTGACCTTCGACTTAGTCCTTCATCACCAATGCAATTGTCTCCAAAAATTGATGCGGCCGTTCTTAAATCTTTACCAATTGATATACAAAGAGAAGTGACTCGTTCTTGGCCGACAACTAGTAAACCAAAATCGAATAATATACTTAAATACTTTATAGCCAATAAGTGACGGAGTTTATGGCCTAGAATAAAATATAGCCATCATTCTGTATACACTTACACACTTACAATATTGGATGGCAGCACCATGTGATATTACGAATTTAAGTTACTAAATATTTTAAATCAATTTGCAATTTGGCTATTAACTTTCTGTATACACATATTTTCTAGAACATTTACAGTAAATGAATGTTAATATAAAATAACTTTATCACATAATTTTGGTCACTTCATTAAACATCATTATAAAAGACCTCACAAGTGGATTTACATGATTACACAAAATGTTTTTGTACAAAATGTTTCTATTTATTTATTTTTGACCAATTCAACATAGTTGATACTTAAATTATTTAAAACAGACGGATTTTTAAGTTTCTTTGCGTTCAAGGTATATTTATAAAATATAAAACTCAAAAAAAAAAGAAAAAAAAAAGAAAGTAATAAAAATGTACATCAACTATCAATGAAAAGTATTCCTATTTAAGTAGAATTCTTTATTGTAAATTGAAGATAAAAAATTATAAAGTAAGTTTTATTTTTATCTTTCACATGTCCGATATGCGTATTTTATATAATTTTTAATACTGCTATGCATTTTTTAACGCTTAACGTTCGGATGAATAAAAATTAAGATTAAATAAGTTAAATAGCTTTTGTACTAAAAATATAAATCTTTTTTTCTTTGTTACATTTTCTATTATTTCTATATAAGTATTTCAGTGATAAGAAAGTATTTTTATTTACACTTAACTAGCGAGAGAATATTTTAAGTGTGCGTGATTCATGCAGTTCCAAATGAAATCCGTCTCGTTAAATGGGGTGCTGACATTTGATTTTGTACTGTCCAATTATTAACACTTCAAAGATGATGTTCATAATTTAAACTTTTTGATAATTTTCATAAATTAAAACTACACTAATAATAATTTCTGTAGCCACAACTATGAAATTTAATATTGTTAGAATAATAATTTCTGGCAACAGTTGCAGAGGAATCAGTACAATGTATAAATGTCCCTGAAGAGTTAAATTATAACTCTTGATTTAAAGTTTAAAAATGAAACGAAATAATGTTTATATTTTTAGTACTATTAATGTTATTCTATGTGTAACGAGTGTTACAAAGAACATGCCGTATAAAAATACTCAATCGCGCCCTAGCGTATTATTGGTAAGGAGCATCGTTCAAATCAGATAAGACATAGTTTATAATATACAGTTATATTAAAAATACTAGACAATCATGTTTTATCGGTTCGGTATGGTACAAGGTGAATAATTATAATATACATTTAAGCGAACACGGATAAAACAAAATGAAAAGAGATAAGCCAATGATACACGCTATTTCAAATATATATTACATACGTTTACTTTCACACGGTTTTCCAAAAAATAGACGTGCATTAAGCGTGACCAACGGCAAGTGATACTGAAACAGTAGCTTTTATAAACGATCATACTTATATGTATAAGGGAACGGACAATTTATATATAATATATATATATATATATATATATATATATATATATGATTCGAATACATAAATTAAAAAAAAAAATATATATATATATATATGCGATAGAAAAAGTTACTTATCGCCAAGCTTTTTTCCTATGTTTATTTATTTACTTGTGTGTACGGGAGAAGTGGTATGGTTCTGATTATTAATTTCTGATTGTGAGACATATTTTATACATATAAGCTACAGGGAATATGAGCGGTTGCGACACTCATGTATATTTGTAGTTTCAGTTAATTAGAATAACACGCAATAGTTCGCACTTCTCATATAGTTGCGTTGATAGTATTCAAGAATTAAAAGCAGGGAATGCAAAACGAAATTGAGTTTGATTTTTATACAAGCAACGTTACATCGACGGTTCATATTACCTCTGATTCATTTAAATAAAGGAAGTTCAAGTTGTACGTCTTTGATGTTTCCTCTTCTTTATTATAATATCTATATTTCATTGCGTTGAATCATTCTTGTTCCTTGTTCGTTTCACAATCCTCCAATAATTTTTTAAACCACACCCAGCAACTGAAATCATCGAAATAAAACGTATGAAATCATACGCGAACATTTTCGGTAAAATTATTGAAAATGAAATTGTTTCTATTTGCACATGCCTTTACGGATATTATAACGACGTTGTCTTCATATTCATAGTGATATCTAAAAGCAATATGAATTTAATTTGAGCGCACAGTGCTCTCGTGTATGACGACAGAATTAGACTCTTACCACTACCATGCAATTTGAATGAGGCCAATCACCCAGCTACCGTCTCTGAATGGAACATAATCAGGGTGAGTCATGTCATAATGGAATAAATTGTGCAGCTTTGTGCCTTTTTAAATTGTCCTGCGCGCCCGTTTAACAAAGCTGTCGAATAATCCTCTTTGAGTCATTGATCGATGAAGAGACACGAATCGAGTAAACCAAATGTACAATCACTACCATACATCGAAATCGTTGTTCTTTTGTCCAAAACTAGTTTGCAACCATTACTTTATAATTACTTAAGCTTAGTCAGTCGTAATATAATCAACTATTTCAGCTTTCAAACAAGGAAGTAAATAGATTGAAAATCAACTTTCCTTAATTTTTAAAAGATTTGCGTGTGAAACAAAGATAGAATTAATGAAAGCGAAACAAAACGAAGATAAGATAGGAATAACATGCCATTAAGAGGCTACCCTATGCTGGGCCATGGTCGGGAAACCCCCATCGAAAGATAAATGAATAGATTTCGACTAAAATTGTTCGTTTGCAATCGTTTTCCTCTTGAGCGGTAGCAATAACCATTCAGTTCACTTCAGGGTTTTCTTCGCTTTTATCATAGCGCGCGTGAGATACATCCGAATAAGCTTTTTTGTAGGCAATATCTGACCTAAATTTAAATACTGGCCAGGTGTATCTTTAATTCCCACGGTCATTAAAGGTATAAATACTCTTGAAATGTCTCCGGTATACCAGATTGATAGTTTTTTTTCTTTGCGTTACCACAAGAAACGACGTGCCTCAAAATGTTCTTGTTTCTTTACATCTTCACCGTTATTGCAATTCTTGAAGCAATAGGTAATAACTTTTTTTTTTT